CTTCCTTCTATTTCATTCCATTTTTACAATCTAAAAAAAAAAAAAAGAAAGAAAGAAAGAACAAAATTGTTATTTGAATTGGTAAATAACCATAAAATTTGGGTACATTAAATAAAACAATTTTTAAAAATATCATCATTATGCAGTTTGATTAATAGTCATACTTAGAATGATAAAAATTAATATTTGTTCATTTGATTTTATTTCAATCCATAATATATATTTAAAAAAAAAACGAACACTTTCTAGTATGTCTGTGAAATCAAGTGGTTTAATATATTATACAGTGAAGTTTTAATGATTTATAGCCATTATATATATTTTAACAAACAAGATTGTAGATTTAATAATGATGCAAGATGTTACAAATCTTTTATATCAATGATTTGATTTCATATTTGCAAGACATTTGCATGTTTTGCACAATATCTGAACGCTTTAACAAAATTAAGAAAAACAATTTTAATTAATATTATGGTTACAATGTAACTAATTATTTTAAATTTATTTTCCACTTCTCATAACTAAAATTTAGTGAACTAGTTTTAAAATTTTTCATATCAACATTCATGTTGTTTCTTAATAGAAAATTTATTAGTTTTCTTACATAAAATAGGAGTGCAGTTTTTTAATTAAAAAAAACATTAATATCCTTGTGTCATAATCTATGTATGATTCAAATATGAGATAGATCTTTAGATCAACAATACAGTCACTCTGTAAATTTAAAATCAAATTCTATTCTAGATATCTTGTAAGTCAATTCAATCACAAATAAAAAAAATCAGCAAGTGCTTTCAATTGATTGTTATCAATACTAGAATTTTGTATGAAGTAATAATGATAATAATAAAACAAAACTTAATAGTCTGAATCAATTGATTGTAAGCTGTAGAACGACTGTATTGCAATCTTTAGAAAATTATTCAAGTTATTTTATATTAAATAATATTTTAAATTAATTTATTATTTTAAGTAAAAAATATTTGGTGGTTTATGAATTTAAAGTTAATTCACAGATACAGTATATTTATAGAAGTTTACTGATATAAGGGTCCAGTTATAAACTCCGTAATGTAACTGTACCCATAGCTATAAGCGTATCCGGATAAGGCTGTACCTTATTCCGTAAGAAAAGTTTGGATCGATCAAACTTTTATAGTAGGGATACAGAGAATTGACCACTGCACATGCGCTAAGTTGCCATCAGTTGATGTACAATCGGAATTTGTGCTGGAAGCAACCGACGAAACTTTGACAAATTGATCGAAATGTAACTTTTGACCGACAATGATGCTTTTGAATAATATAAAATTTTAAGGTAAAAATTACTTTGGTCATAAAAAATAAAAAAATAATAAAACAAATAAATAATTATACTGTTAGATCTGGCAATAACTACCAATGATTTTGCGCATGCTCACAATGGACTGCTTCGTAAACCGTAAAAAAGTTTGTTATAGAAATCCAGTGTAGCAAACATTTACGAACACAGATACGGTTACATTACGGAGTTTATAACTCGACCCTAACTTTAAAACACATTATTAAAAATAATAATTTTAATAAAATTACTCACTGAAATACTGTAAGTTCGTCATTAACTACAAGATCAGATTTTTTCAGAAAGCTAATTAATACATTTGTCTCTAAACTCCCAAAATCATCCATGTCAGCAACTAATTCAAAATTCCAAGTAATAAAATTGCTACAAGCAGTATAAATAGGAATATGGCCACAATTTAATGTATATTGAAGCCACGAAACCTGAAAATGTAATAAAAATAATAAAAATCTTGTAATCTTGTCAATTACAAGCAAATCAGATGATTACATAACTTTTAATTATTTCATTTTTAAAATAAAAGTTTATGTAAAATTAAATCTACATGTAATAGTTAAAAATCCTCCAACCTAAGCATTGTCAAGAAAAAAATATTAATTTTAATCTATTCTATTTATAAGCTCTAGTGCAAAGATATTCATAAGAGTGGAATCGCACAGCAGTTACATTCAGGCCTACAACTGCATATCCTCTTGCTATTCTGGGTTTGACTCTTCAACTTTTTTCAAGAATTTTTTTTAAACTTCCTTTTTTATTTTTGAGAGAAAGGTGGGTTACATTTTTCCACTACTGAATTCTTTATTTTTGCATTATTTTAGTAATTTACACATATATTTTGATTCTCTAGATCAGTAGTTCTCAACCTTTCTGAAGCCATGAAACACCATACATATACTTTTCATTACACGGAGCATTAGCATCAACATACTCAAAAATTTTTAAGCAATTCCATGTTTACTATTCTCAGGAAACAATAAAGCAGTAAACTAATAAACTTTAATATATTGAATAAAATAAAAACATGGAATTGTCTACGAATATAGCAATGGGAATAAATTTGAATAAAAACTTTAAACTCTCTTCTTTCATGGAACATTCAAGGTAAGTTTGTGGAACACTGGTTAAGAAGCACTGCTCTAGATGCTTTATGGTTCTCTCATTTGACTTACAATATACTTTCATTGTATTTTTGCAAAGTTTCCAATAGCATAAGTAAACATTAACCATAAATTAAAGGAACTGAAAATATTCTATTAAGCTGGGAGTTGAAGATGTCCTAGCTGTATTAAAACTTACACCAACTTATAAATGGAAATCAGATATAGACCTTATTACAGTTTTTAAGTTTTGAGTGTGGGTTAATCATGAATACCTTATTTCAAGTTTCAATTTGTCTTTGGACAAATTCAAGTATCTGAAAACTTTGTGTATAACCATTAAAAAATTTACTAACTTTTATTTAATAAGTAAATTACTAAAAATGCAAACATTAATAATTCAGAAGTGAAAAAATGCAACCCATCTTAAGAAAAAAAAAATAATAATAATAAAATCAAGACTCAAACCCAAAACAGCCAGGGGATATGCACTCATAACACCAGAAAACCACTACACCAACCATTCTTATAACTGTGTTTGCAATAGAATGTATAAATATAATAGCTTAAAATTGGTTCCTTTTTTCCTGAAAATCTTAGGATTGAGAATTTATTATTATTATATATCAGTTTAATTTCACTTAAACTTTTATTTTAAATACAGTAGAGCATCGATTATCCGAAAGAATTCCAGGCAGCAAATTTAAATTTTCGCCAGTGCTGTGGCACTGCAATCTTTGGCTATGTCTTGGGCTACTCAAATATTTTACATTTTTGATACTAAATTAACTTCTGAGGTATAATTTTTTATTGTTTTTATATTTTTCAATATATTTATTTTGTTTGTACAAAATAAAAAAATAATTTTTAACGATACAATAGCCTTCGTTAGGCTTAAAATGGACGAAAATTCAACGTGAAGTGACACGCAATGGAGAAAAATTTCAACATGGGATAGGTTAATATGTTTTTTCGTACATAATCAGTTATCCGAAATATCGATTTTCCGAACAACCCCAGTCCCCAATTGATTCGGATAATCGATGCTCTACTGTATAAAATATTTAAGTCAGATAGTCATTTGGTTTACTTTTCTTGTCAGTTAATTTATATTGTTATTGTATAATTACAATATCAACAACATAATAGAAAAATCAACAAAAAATTTCAAATCTGGACTTGTATTATTTCTTTTAATATTTTTTTATACTGTATGTCTTTGCATAGTTATTCAAGTTTAACTATGCCACTTTTTACAAAAATCTTACATTTATTAAGAATATATATATATAATATATATGATTAATAAGGAAATGTTATGCATGAAATAATAAATAGTCTATTTATTCATATATAATGTAAAAAATTTGAAATTGTTTATACAGGATATAAAGTACAGTACATCCTCCATAGTCAAAAAAAAATTTATTAAATTGAAAAACTTACCAACTGGTTATGTTTAGTAGCAGATACAACATGTCGGCACATATAATCCACACACAAATGTATTAGATCTTTAACATTATATTTATCAGCTAATGTGACAAGTGGAAGAACCAAAAAATGATTGATGTGTAATTTTCCAGTGTATAAATATTTTAGAAAGTCAGGAAAAACAAGAACACATGCTGGATCCTCATGCAAAGTAATTCTGCTTTCATGAGATTCACTCCAATTTCTATTCATTAACATAACCTGGAAATAAAAACAAATAGTAAAAACTTGACCTCTCATTTTAAAATTCAATCTAAAGAATGAAAATAAATAGCAATACAGTAGACTCCCCTATAAAACGAGTTCATGTAGTTCAGATTATTATATAATGGCAAAAAAATTGCGACTGTATTCGTATAAACACACTAAAAGAGACTCGTATCATTCAGTAAAACATCATCGCAGACTCATGTTGCAACAGGATTGGTCGAATCTAGACCAATAGCAGATATTGCAGAAACCGTTGAACTTAAACGAGCAGCGGACCTACTAAAAACCATTTATTATTTAATGGCCATAAAAATTATATTTACATTAATGATGTCTCCAAAGTTCAGCAAATTTTTCACAGAAAAATAATTTATCAGGAAGCATGCGCGTGCCATTCGATGCACCGCTTCACGACGAAGACAAGCTTAAGCAATGGCGTCGTCGAACGGTGCACACTCGGTAAGTAATCCTACAATTTTTTGTTTATAGCATAGTTTATATGCATTATTCCCAAAAAATTATAGGTATTTTGGAAATGTTGAGTCAAATTAGTCTAGAATCGATTAATTTTATGGAAGAAAACCTTTCAAACAGCCATAGTCCGTAAACTGCATATGTACTGGGCTGTGATTGGTTCATGTATTTAAGGACTCATAGAACATCAATTTCATAAAGAACGGAACGTATCTACTGTGTTATAGGAGGGTCAACTGTAATTAAATTATAACAGATAATTCAAATATTTAACTATAATTGAAAAACTGTCTGAAAACTTCAACATATTCAAATCATTCCAATTCTGATCATTGTAACTGCTCGTTTTTCACCATCTGTTTTCTTGTTATTACATTTCTGTAGATTTTTTCTATTGACTTTGAATATAGTTCATTAGTATAAATAAAAATAAGGTAAAGATGCCTTTTTTAAGTCCAGTTTAGATTATTCATGTCATCATAGTCAATGATCAAACTTGAAAACGGGGAGTGATAATTTATCATTTATCCATCGATATAGAAAGAAGTATAAATATTTTAACAATGTTATCTCCAGTTAAACATTATGGAAAATAAATGAGCATGCTTCTGACATTAGTTTCATATCAGCATTCACATATAATCTTATGAACTACAAAATTATTGTTCATGTGTATGTATCTGTATAATAAGCAAACAAAATAAGCAATTATTAAAAGCACTTTAACGAAAATCAGCAAATTTGCAAAATCAATAAAGCTGCAATAATATTAATGACTTATAACAAAAATTTTAAAGTTATAATTGTGGACAAAATTTAATTCTATTTAAACAAATTAATTTAAATTTCTGAAAAGGAAGAATTTCATGACAGAAAACAAATTAAAATAACACACAGTATTTTAAGAGTGTAACTGAAAAATGTATTTTCAATGTCAGAACTGAATCAAATCCAAAAGCAAATAATTAATTATAAATGCAATTGGATACTTTTTAAATTTTTGTCAGGCTATCCCAACTTGAAATTTTGCTATTTATCAAAAATAATTCAAAATAATGAGCTTTCATGCTGTCTTTGTGCCTATGACATAAAAATGCTCAAATTGCTTCTATCCAGAAATTATAATTCTGTATTTACAATTATCTTTAGAGAAAAGCTTTACAAGTAACTCAAATTATGATACAATGACAGTTCAGAAATTGCATACATAGCAAGATTCATAAGTTTTGCTAAAGGAAAATCTCACTCTCACAAGCCACTCTATTCTGTATTTTGGTCCAGTCTCTCTGTGCATCACATCAAGATTTAGAAAGTTTGGGCTTTCACTTCCAATAAAATCTCAAATGAACTTACATAGAATATTATGCAATGACAGGGACAGCTTTCTCATATTAGAGAAACCAGGCATTTACAAAATACAAAAATGCATTATATAGGGGCCACAACAAGAAAGTTGATTAGCCACATATTGGAACATCAGGGAGACATACGTAACAACAAGCATACCATGGAGCTAGCCAAAAAAAGTAATAAAGCATAATTTTGTACCAGCTTGGAACGAGACCACCCTATTGACAATGTCATTCATTTTTAATCTTTTTTATCATTTTTATCTGGGTGGCTCTAATCATCAAAAAACAAGGGTCCTGCAATAAACCCACATTGGAGCTCCCAAGAATATGAGTCATCCTCTATAAATCCTTAATGACGTAATATAGAAACTAGACTGCTACTTCTACAATTTAATCCCTTTCATATGGTAAAGTAGCACTAATTTATACAGTATTCTGCATAGTTGGCTATCTATGCAGCATTCAATTAGTCATTACATTTGAATTTAAACACTGTAATTGTGTTCCATCTAGAATGAGCCAACATTAAAACTTAAAAAAGAAATTTTATAACAACATTTGGACAGATGTTCTTTTGCCATTTGCCTGATGAAGACATTTTTGAAAAGGTCGAAAGTACTCATGAAAAGATTTCTTTTCACCATTAAACATGGATAACATTGAAAAGACAATGTTCTCAGTTCGTTTATCAAATAGATAGGATTACATCTAATTAGACAGAATTAAACAAATGCAAAGAAAGTCTTGTGTCATTTATATTACACTTCACTGTGAGAAATAACCAAATAAGAAGATTGACACAGTTTCATGTAAAGAAGGATTACATCTAGTCAAGAACCTGATAATGAACAGGCATAAATCATTCAGGCAAAGTTTCCAATTACTTATAGCAAAAATAACATCTGAAGTCAATCAAGATAAAAATAAAAAATAATTATGATATTCTTGATAGAAAATTTAGCATCTACCCATTAGATATATTGAACAAAGGGCTGGATTCACAGAAGTGTCATTAATAACAATGTCATATGCTATTTAATATCCTTAAAAATAACAGCGTAATGACTTGTAGATGCAATTCATAAAAGTTGCTGTAAAGTATGATACTGTTAACAACAAAATAAGTAGGGTCTTGTATTGGAAGTATGGAATATTATCCTCACTTCTGTTGGATATGGCTAATAAGAAATTAGATTATTCACTCTTCATGGTTTAAGAATTTGAGTGTGATCATAAGAACTAAAAGATGATGATATGAAATATTAGTTAAGAAATTTTATATTTATTTTTTAAAATCCAGTTTAGAATATTAAAAAATCATAAGAGCTTTAAATGAAAAATACATTCTGTAGTCTGTGTATTCTTATTGTAATAATTTATAGTAAACTCACAATAAAATCTATTTTGAATTAAGAAATTATAGAAATGAAGTTGTATATAATTACATAATTTAATAAAATGTCATTTCATAGAATGTATTGACATAACAACATACAGTAAGACCTTGTTTAGCACTATCTCGATTAATGCTGATTTGATATAACACTGTCTGCTCAAAGCCTAAAAAAAAAACTTAAAATTTACCCGGATTCAAATTATCATAGTATTTCATTGATTTGTATATAATACAATTATTCCCAAACAAGAACCAATCAACATAGTAGCATTGTACTTTCCTTAAATCTATTGTTTGTTTGGTGCAATTTTGGAAATAATATAACATCATGGATGCCACAGGCAATATTGACTTCTCTTGACAAGGAATTAACTGATAAATGCATGAATGGAGTGTGGAAGAAGTTATGGCTGGAGGTATCCAAGAATTCTCAATGAGAAGAGCCTATTGCTGTATTGTTAGGTTGACTAAATTGTCAACCTAATTGATACAGCAGAATTAGGAGATGTAGACAAGAGGATATTGAGGAGTTACTGCAGGTTTCTGGTGAGAGCCTTATCAATGACGACCTTCAAGAACTGGCAGAACAAGGAATTCATGTAGAATTGGAAAATGGTGATTCTGAAAACGAAGAACCCAAAGAATTTCTCTGCAGATTTCCTTAATAAAAGTTAGGTAAAGATAACCGAAATTGTTGATCAAATTGTAGCAAATGATCCAGATTTTGAAAGAAGTGCAAAAGCAACACGAAGTGTTTTTGAATGTGATCTCCTGCTATTGACATTTGCTTAAGCAAAGAAAAAAACCAACAAATGACACTAGACGACTTTATTGCAAAAAAATCAAGAATTTCAAAAGAGCCAGAATCTTCATCACAAAAAACAAACTTTACATTTCTGTGCGCATATGTTTGTGTTATTTAACTTATATTATTAATATAAGTTAATATGCAAATTAATATAAAAATAACTTTAAAGTAAAATCTGTTTATTTTTGGTCACATGTTCCCCTTTCCCTATTTACTGTGTGTTAAAAAGACCTTGTTTAATGCTGTTTCATTTGTGTTTTGTCATCTAGGAATGTATCCCCCATCTTACTGTATCTTGGTTAGGGTTGGGGTCTTATTGTATCTTGTAATCTGATTGTTTACAATAATGTTGAAAATCTCATAAAATAAAGTACTGCAAATAACTTTCATTGTCAATAAATAATATACTTTGGTGAAATTTTACATAATCACATATACAGTAGAACCTCGCTTAATGAGCATAATTCGTTCCAGATACTTGTAATGTGAAATACTCATTAAGCAAAACAATTTTTCCCATATAAATTAATGTAAAATACAATAATGTGTTCCACGATAAAAAAAAATACTGAAATATTTTATGTATAACATCTATTCAAATAAAATTATACAATATACATTGTTAAAGAGCATAAATCATCATCTTTTCTTCTAATGCAGAATGAACTAATCTGAATCCGAATTTGATTTGTAAGAAAAAAAAACACAGCTAGTATGTCTGATAAACATGCCAAACAATATGCCAAATTCTTGAGCTATGTAAAGGCTATAATTAAATATGAGAAATTAATTAATTTGACTAGAGGTAGGCAGTTATGCTGCCATCCCTTATTAAATTTAATAATTATAAATAATTAATTTTTAATTTAGACATTTCTAAAATTTAATTTGGAATTGGTCATAGCCTTTATGTAGCCCAAGAATTTGGCATATCATTTGGTGTTTGTTATATAATGGGCTATGGTTGTTGATGTTTATATGTAATATGTGTGAACATGAGTTTGGAAAAATGTGTGACCACAAGCGACACTAAGATGCTAGCAGAATGAATGCTAAACACAGACTGATGAAGCATGTGCACAATCCGGGACTTACCCTCTTCTCGTCACTCGTTAAGCGAGTCAATCTTTTACAATTTGTTTTGCGAGGTACTCATTAAGTGAGTTGACTCCCCTATAACGCAGTAGATATGTTCCACTTTATAAGAATTTCGCGTTGTAGGAATCCTTAAATACATGAGCCAATCACAGCCCAGCATGTGTGCAGTTTACGGACTACGGCTGTTTGAAAGGTTTTCTTCCATAAAATTAATCGATTCTAGACTAATTTCACTCAACATTTCCAAAACGTATAATTTTTTGGGAATAATCCGTATAAACTATGCTATAAACAAAAAATTGTAGGATTACTTACTGAGTGTGCACCGTTCGATGATGCCATTGCTTAAGCTTGCAATCGCAGCGCACCAAACGGCAGCCGCGATTTCTGATAAGTTATTTTTCTGAAAAAAATTCTTTGAACTTTGGAGACATCATTAATAAAAATAATTTTTATGACCGTTGAATAAGAAATGTTTTTTTTCACGAGAAATGTATAAAATTACAGTACTGTATTAGACTTACAGTACCTAATTTACATACTGTACAGATGATAGTAAACTCAACTTACCCGTCTAAACTCTCTGTAGCGTGTAAGTAGTTTGGCTGTTTGTCCACTATTGGTCCAGATTCGTCCAATCCTGTCGCGACACGAGTCAGCGATGATGTTTTACCGCATTTTAAGAGTCTCTTTTAGTGTCTTTATACAAATACGGTCACAATTTTTTTGCCACGATATACGAATCCACATTATATGAACCCGTGTTATAGGGGGGGTCTACTATATATCTAATAATTCTAGATGTTATTTGATTTTCAAGTATTATGGCATTAATGATGATAGAGTCCAGGTTTATTTAACATTAATTAACTCTAGAACTGCAACAGTGGTATTTTTGATTGCTACTGAATTTTACTTACTTGCTCACTGAATCAAGTTTGTCACAGAAATCTGAAATTTGACATTTTCTGAATTTGAATGTTAATTCAGTTGCATTACAATTCAATTTTATTTTGATAAAATCAAGGGATCCTGAAATATAAAGATCTCCACTTACAACCACAGAAAGTAGTCATTTGTTTGATTGCTGATTTATTCTGTTGTTTTATTACCTTTTTTTTATTTTTTCACTTTTGTTTCATGTGTCTATGACTTGTAAAAATAAACACTTCTACATTAATGTTTCAGCTAGTCTTGTTTGCATTTTGTTTCTTTTGTTAGAACAACTTTTTGCTTCAGTTTTATTAAACTTATTCACATAGTGTGTATACAAGTGTTTCAGACTATGCAAGCGATAGGTACTGCAAGATCATGAGATTCGATCAAAAATCAAGCAGATACATATGCTTGAGGACTGACAAATTTTCTCTTTATTTGCTACATGGAACAATTTTAATAAGAATTATTCTTTGCTACAAATCTGAGAAAAATCTAATCAGAGATGAGTAGCTCTTTCCTAGACATACAAGATATAGATTTAGTCAGTACATGCCAGTAGAAATCAGATAAATTCAGGATCAACTTTTTGGTTTTAATAGATGACACCAAGTATCTGTGCAATGCTTTTCCTTACCTTGGAAAAGATGAACTCTGTCCTACTAATGTGTCCCTTCCAGAATATATTGGTATGAAGCTGATATCTACCTGAACAAAGGAAGAAACATTACTATTGACAATTATTTTACAACACTGAAACTCCAAGATAAGAAGACTAGCATAATTGGCACTATGATTCAAATGAGAAGGGGATTCCATAATCAGTCAGGATATTGCATGCTGAGATTTATTCGACCATTTTGCTAAAACACGATGACACAACCCTCACTGTTTATCAGGGAAAAAACAAAATGTCCTGTTGCTTAGTACAATGATCGATACGATGATTTTCATGCCAAATATTGTATACTAAAATGGAAAAGGCATTACATGTACATTTTTTAAGTGTTGATGTCCTTGACCAGATGGCAAGAAACTATTCCATTTAAGCTGCTACACACTGCTGGCCTGTACATGTCTTTTATATTATTATAGACTTGGTCACAATCAATGCTTGGATTATTTTCAGACAAGTATCAAAAAATAATATGAAATGTCATATGGTTCTGCAGAAACTCTGAGGAACTATGTGCTAAACACATTGCATTATTACACCTAGTTTAGAGAGATTGATTTACTATCCAATACAACTGATTGACTTGTGTCAATCCTTGAAGCATCACCACTGTGAAATAGCACAATGTAAGAAAAACAAATCACTTATATTGCTTGTTTAGAAACAAATAATTAAGGAAGAAAAAAGAATAGATAACCTCTGTAAATTGATCAATAGAGAGTTTGCGGCTGTCGTATTCAGCCCAAAACATGAATGGTGGATGGTCGAGTGCCGCCATCTGGCAATTCTAGATGGTCGATAATGGTGTTTGCTACGTCTAGCATGGTGAGTAGATCGGTTTAAACTTCTTCATTTTTTTGTGTTTGGAGTTAAAATTATTACCTATTTTATTAAAATAATGATTATTTAAGCATTTACGAATGATATTGTAAAGAAACAGATGATTTTAATCCAGAAATTATTTAATTATTCAATTTTTTAGCAAGTGATGCAAAGTGCCTATAGAATTTACATATATTTGCCTTCATAATAGTTTATCTTAAGGTAGGTTTGTTCTTCCACAGCATCTTCTGCCATCAACAGTGTAATACGGTTATAAATTTTCTAAAAATTAATTTTCCAAGCTGCTTTTGAATTTATGTAAGCAACTATTTCCCTCAACAAAAGTATGTAGTAGTCCTATCATCCAATCATACAGTAAAAGACACCACGCTAATTAAAATAATTATTTAGTGTTATTAAACATCCTATAAATACTTTAAAATAGTTTAATTTGTTTATTTACCTTTGCTTTTAACCCTCAATGTTAAATGTATCCACCATTTTTTCAACAAATTTTCCATGAGTCAATGCACGACATTCACTGAGTCACATGATATGAACATGTGCTGCAACAATTTTTTCTTGGAGTTAAAAACTTAAACTGTGTACTTCTGCTTGCCGTGTACAAGTAATGTTTGAACTTGCACTGCAACCTCTCTAATGTTACAATAAAACTATATTAAAAGCAGTTTTGAATTCAATTACATTTCACGAAAAAGCATGTTTCGGAAAGTGTTATAGATATTCTGTTGGTATAAATTTCCCTTAATTTTATTATTATATAAAGTACAGGTATACAGAAAGTCTTGTAGTTCTAGTGTTAAATGTTTTTACAGATCAAACCATCCCAACTTCAGATCTACATGTTCAAAAATAGAATGTCAGGAAACTATTTGAAAATCTCACAAATGTGTAGAATACCAGAATAACTAAACTTAAAAATTTGGACAAATAGGAAAAGCAAACAATTAGTAAATAAAATATATAAACATAGTAACAAAATATAAAACATACAAATGAAATAAGTGAATATGTTAATTCCCTTATTTCATTAACATAATCCGTGTCTCAAACATTCAAATCTGAAACATGTGGCATTTTAAATAAAATATATCTTGCTAAAATGATTGTAGAGTTTCATCAAAATGGTCTGTCAAATGTTCAAGCTTAGCTTCAAAGAGTTTTATTAATCATAACCATGAGTTAAGATCTGGAATTTTTCTTTTGTATAGAATCGGATCGACAGAAGTCACAATGATAAGTTCTTCAGATATCCAAACATCTAATCATGGCATATATCTGGATGTAACCAAAGTATCTTGACAAACAGGTTCATATTTGCTATTGGAGAATAATTTTTTGGCAAGGAACATGAACATTCTGCCTTTTCTTAGATCCTCTGTCTGTTCACTGTGCAATAAATGCTGCAAATGTACCAATCAAGATCTTTCTCCTTGTTCATTCTGACTGGAATTTTTATACCCCACTGTTGAGTCATTTTGGAATGTCTCTTTTTCATTTTGAACCAAATTGTGGAGTAGCTGAGCACTTTGATGACTTTTAGTTCTTGATTTTTTTAGGTGTATCTTCTTAATATTTTAGAGGATGTTATGAGTGTTATATTAAGATTTCTTACTGCTTTTGATCCTTTCAGCACACTAGGTCTTTGCAGGTGAAGTATCCTGCATATAACATTATAACAAAGATTCCAGTTTAGCAGGAATGAGAAGCCATATAAAAACACTATGTCTTCAATAAAACAGTTCTTTTGTTAGATTGTTGAACAAAGAGAAGTAGAGAGATCTTGATGAAAGAGAACAGAATGCTGCTGTTTTAAGAGTCAAATATAATTTAAAAGATATAATCATACAGGCCATTTTTGGGAAGTCACGTGTATGGTTATATCTTCTAAATTAATTGGTTTGAAAATAAAGATCAAACAGAGGTTGGATAGCAAAATTATCAATGCCTCTGCACAGTAAGCAAAAGTTGTTGATTTAACTCCCACTCTTAATCAATCTGTTCTTTCACAATATTCTAAATTAGTTAATATAATTTTAATCATTAAATTTAATTCAAGATGGTAACTTAATCACCTACCTTTAGTCCAAATTACATAATACCTATATATAAATTTATTTATATTTAATTAGCTAGGTTATAGTATAATAATGAATCCAGCATTACCATTTGTTTATAAAGTCTTATGATAAGAATTATAGAATACTATTAAATTATTTTTCATACCTGAAATACATCACTAGAAGCACAAAGTATTAAACGATGTGCTGCAAACTGTTTTCCACCAACTTCTAAAGTAATATCACTCAAGAGTCTTTCAGCATAAAGACCAGCAATTTTTTCTAAAACTGTAGATGAATTATCTATTTGTTGTTCGTGTTCATTATCACATAACTTATGACCTTCCGTTAAAGGAACTGAATCTATAGAATCATCATCTATTGACTGAGACTTTGTGCCTACATTGCCACTTTCTCCACAGCGCATGGTTGTATTTGCATTATTGTTTCTATTCCAGTTTGAATTACTTTGAAACATTGCAAATGCTAAAAAGAACAAAAAATTAAGATTTTTTTATTAAAAGAATATAAGTTTACAAAGATAAAACATATGATAAATATTTAAAATTTTATTTTTTAAAAATGTTTAAATTTAGATTATAGATTATTAATTATTTACAAAATATAAGTTCATTACTTTCTAAATATAAACACATTAGGATGGTGCTTATTTTTAAGTTTTGAAAAATTGGACAGTGCATGTTGAGTCTGTTCCATTATGAAAAAAATTTTTGGTAAAATTTGGTTAGTTTTGAATAATATTTAGTGGTAACTACCACAATCTAAAAAATTGTAATATGTCTCAGAGCATAATACTGCTCATTGTTAAAATAGAAATCCTACCTAAGTATAGCAGTAAGAGCACAATGTCATCTTGTTATATTGTAACATGGAAATTACCAATGACAAATTTTAAATGCTTAGTATTGTATTACCTCATATATTGCTTAAAATAAAGAAAATTTACATTTGAACAAATTAGACACATGTCTCTATGCAAACTACAACTTTTATTTTTACCCCTATAACAACAACCACCCTAATGTGTACATATATAGATATATAATGTTATGTATAATATACATTAGAATGGTCTTTATTATCTGTACTTACATTAAAAGAAAAATGTTATATCATAGCCACACACAAATAATGTAAATTTAAAAATTAATTTTTATTTTACAGTAGAGCCTCGATTATCCGACCCCCGATTAACCGACCGTCCTACTTGGCAAATTTCAAATGTCCGCTAGTGATGTGGCGCTACAATATTTTGCTATGTCTTGGCTACTTTAATATTATGTTTACGTGTTTTAGCTGGCAACACTCATTCGACCATGAAAGGGAGCCAGTATTTAAACGAGGCTTAATTTTCTAATTTTTAACGATACAATAGCGACGATTATTATTTTAAAAAATTTTTGTTAGGCTTAACATCAATGAAAATTCAATGCGAAGTAGGTTAATAGCGATATACTAATATACTAATTACATGGGATATAATAATATACTACACTAATAATGGATTTTTTCATACTTTTCGGTTATCCGACTTTTCAATTATCCGACCAACCCCAGTCCCCAATTGAGTCGGATAATCAAGGCTCTACTGTATTTTTAATTTTGGTTTCAAAGTCAGAGTTTTTTTAATTATTTTTTAAAGTTTTAATTTAGTTTTTATAATTATTTTAATAATTTTTATTTATTTAATTTTGCATTAATTTTGACGAATCTTTTGAATCCTTAATTACAACTTTTTTAATTAACTGTTTTTTTGTTTGGAAAGCTGTGGCAGGGATTATAGGTGGAATATTACTAAATTTATGGGACATGGAGAACATCAAACCTCCCTGGGATTTGGAGATGCTCAAGTCTAAAAATCACGTTTGTGAGAACTTTGACAGCAAACACTAAAGGTGAATCAATATGTAATGTTTTGAAAGATTATTTCATGGAAAAAGCGATTCCTTTATCAAATATAATATCAATGGCAGCAGATGGAGCACTGGTCGTGTTTGGGTGCTATTGTGGATTTATAAGCCATTTAAAACAAAATGTACCTGGGGTGTTTGCAATACACTGTGTCATCCATCGACAACATTTAGTTGCTAAAAATCTGAATGGTAGATTGCATCAATCTCTTCAATTTGTCATTAACGAAGTAAACAAAATTCAAAGTAACACATTGGTTACTTGTGCAACTGTGAAGAAAATGACGAAAACTTTCATCAATTGCTCCTTCACATTGAAGTACACTGGCTGTCAAAAGGCTTATGTTTGACAAGATTTTTTTCACTTTTTGAGAGTTTTAGAGTTTTTGGATGATAATTAAATTTTCTTTTAAAATTGGATAAGTGTAAACCAGACATTACTTATTTAACAGATTTGTTCACTAAATTTAATGAGGTTAACTTGCAGTTACAAGGTGACAGTCAAAATTTAATAAAAACAAAGTCCATCATTTCAGATTTTCTTGTCAGAATTAAACTAATGAAGCAAAATATTGGATAGTGCAAATTTTCCCAGTTTCCCAATTTGTCACAGACAAACTGCCAGGATAATGATGTTTCACAACCTATGTTCAACATTTAAATAGGCTTAACACAGACTTTGAAACTTGGTTTGAGGATTTTTGAATATGGAAATACCACAGTGGATTATTGATACATACAGTGACATTGAAAAAAACAAATGTCATATTACAAGAAGCAATAACAGAATAAGCAATAACAAAGAACTTAAGGTACAGTTCAGAAAGGGATATCAGCAACTTTGGCTTCAGAGAGACATATCTATTACTTATCCTGCATTATGGACTATCGTGAGAAAGTTTTTGATAGCTTTTCTATCTTCATACCTTGGGAAAACAGGGTTTCTCGAGGGGTTTCAGCACAGTTGCCAATCTTCTTAAAAATAATAAAAGAAACAGATTAGAAATCACCCATTGAGGAGATTTAAGGTTACAGCTCACTAAATTGAAGCCAAATATTGAAAATTTGCTATTAAAGCATCAGGCTCATCTCTCCCATTAAAAGCATTTGTTTGTGTAGATATTTTATGTTATAATTTTACTAGATTTACATTTTGTGTCACTTTAATAAATGTATAAAACTTAACATGTGTTTTTTTTTTTTTAACTTTTTCACTCTACAGTTAAACCTATCAAAGTGAGTAGCACTGTGTCAGCTGTTAAAAACATATTTGAAGTTGATGAATTTGTAACAATTCAATATTAGATATGCGGGGGTTCTACCCAAAACAGAAAAAATTGGCATGTGGTCTACGAAACAAAAAAATTTGAGGACCTCTGGCATAGAGTTTCAGTTCAGCTTCTGCAAGGCACTTTCGTCTGTTCCTAATCAGCTTTGCAAGGAGAGATTTTCTCGACGTCCATCTAGTAGAACACCAAGATAATGTAGTGAAGGGAAGGCACACCACAGAACTTACAAAAAAGGTGCTCGAGCAGGGTTACAACCCATTATGGACCAAACAATAATACTCAAGTGTTGCAAAAATCGAAAACTCATCTTTATATGGGAGTCCCTTCTCATGGCAACCTCAGATGCATGCAACACTCCCACTCTATACCTGCCCATTGTATAGGTCACTCTGTATAAGTGGTTAAACAATGATCCACATCCACAGTCACATTATTAACATGGGACTACATCCATGCATGCATTGCTTCACAACATACATATCACATTGCATGCACAACTTTGAACACGTTTGTAAATTAGTGGCTTGTTCTTAATGGTTTTACCAAATATTTTAATTTGAATAATATGTTTTCTGTTCTTCTTCCTCAGAATACTTCTGTTTGATCTTTTTAAAAATCTTTAATCACCTGACAATGACGATTATAAATTCGTCAAAAGTACTTGCAATAAAAAGCACTTATAATGCCATACTCAGTAAACTCTCCATCCTACTATAGCGGCTTATTACAGTATGTTGGAAATGGTATTTACTAGCTAACTCCTCAATCACTTTTCTGTGAAAACTATACTCCTGAGTTACCACTGCAATGCAATTAAGCTCTGCGTTTGTATCCTCCAATTTAGCACAATGTGCGTATACCACCTAATGAGAGTTCTGAATGCAAATCTGGCTGGTAATATCAAAACCTTATACAGGGGTCTTTTTAAAACATGAAAAATATCCTGTATGGACTGTTACTACAGGCAGAGGAAATGAGTAACACAGAGGTGCATTATTTGGTTCTCAATATCAGATTTGCTAATAACCACATCAAAATCACAGTATAAGCAGGATACCAATAAAACATAACACAGGTGCTTAACCTAATGATGATAGCTGAGAGTTATTAAAACATTTGTTTATTGGACGTTTCTTACTGCAGTTCGGTTTGATTTGCATTTAGTTTAAAGAAAGTCATTCAGTCAGTACAGTTGATGTTAAAGGCTCTTGTGAGTAAGCACAAAATTGCTCAAAAGAGTGAATCACAAAAGAACACTACTAAGATGAAAACACAGGCTTTCATTGGTTTCTGAGGATAGGCATTTTGGACATGTCTCTTATCAGGCCTCTTTTAAATTCAACAGTAATCTTGATGATAGAAATTACATATAGAAAATTGTGACAACTGGATTCCAATGAATAATAAAATACCTGTATTTTATAAATGGGGGTAATGATAAAATTCTGTAAATTATAAAAGGGAGAGTATAATAAAATGCAATTAAAACTGTAAAATTAAAGGTTAGTAAAAGAAAAAAGGAATAAAACTTATTGAAATCTTAAAAAGAGACATAACAATTACTGTCTGACTAGCATCTCAGTTGTAAGTTAAAAGTACTAAAAAATGTTTAACTTTTAGTAGTACTTTTAACTTCATTAAAATTACCACTAAAAGTACTACAGTAGTTATGTGTTCAATGCATTCACAGCAAAGATTTTATAAATTTCAAAAAAAAAAAAAATAATGTAGTCACTTACATGTTTGGATTGAATAATGAAGAACCTCAGTTAACTGGGGACGTTCTACTTTATTTGAAATAATAGCAAGATAAATGAGANTATAAATTTCAAAAAAAAAAAAAATAATGTAGTCACTTACATGTTTGGATTGAATAATGAAGAACCTCAGTTAACTGGGGACGTTCTACTTTATTTGAAATAATAGCAAGATAAATGAGACAGTAAAGACATCAACCTACAACTCTGGAGAGCCAAATTTGCATCTGGTTAAAGCCTGAGAAATTTAAAAAGTGGTTTGAAGTGGATATTCCAGGTCCCATCTATCATAATTCAGCTGCAATTTTGGACTTGGCCAAACCCACAATCAACATGAAAGAAACTTTAGAGACCGGAAGATAGAAAAAGTTAAAAAGAACTATCCTAAATTTATACAATTTTTATTAAATCCAAAACTGAAAATATAATTTAAAAAATTTTAATATTGTTTTTTTTCTATAAAAAGGCTTCAGTCTCTCCCTTTATGGATATCTTTCCTAGATCAAAAT